CTGGGTGCAACTTTTATGTAAGTAAAATTTTTTAATACGGCGAATATTTTTTTTGCTACAGACCTTAGCAGAAGTAACTTTTCAAAACAGCGTTTTTCACCATTTTTTTCAGGAATTTTTCAAAGCTAGTAAATGTCGTATTTTTCGACTGCCTTTATACTACATAGATAGGAAAAATGTTGACGTTTACGCCACTATATTTAGTTTTGTAATATTCCAATTAGTTTCGCTACTATAACAGTTTTACACCGTGTCGGAGGTGCGTCCCGAGTTGCCCCGCCAGTCCCGAGTTGCCCCGGTTGATGGTATATGGTAATATCATATCAATAAAGGAAAAACAAGTAAAAATCGCGGAAAATCTCATTTATTCTGCCTCTACATTATCTACAATGAAAGAGGAGGACTTCAGAGTACAGTTAGTAATGGATGAGTACGGTACACTCTGCATGCTTTGAATGTTTTAAAATGAAGTTTTATTCCAAGTGTCCTGAGTAGCCCTGTTTGGCGGGGCTACTTGGGACACTTTTTTTTTCTTCTGTCACCTTACGAATAGCATATGGCATTTTTTTGACAATGCCATTCAAAAGCCCTCGCAAAAAGCTATAAAATGAGCCTAAATTTGTTTATGAAATGTTTCATCGTAACAAGTTATTAACAGTTATTAACAAAAAAATGCTCAAAACTGTCCCGAGTAGCCCCAGTTGACGGTATTAAGATCATTTGGCTGCTTAAGTCGCAAAATCACCAGGAATTTAAAAGTAAAGAAAATAGCCAAAAAGTTCACCATTTCTTATAAGAGAAAACTTTTTGGAGCCCAGCTCCATTGTCAGTTCAAAACCTACACAGGTACAAACAATTAGTAGCCTAAAATTCACAATCAAACAATTCACCTAAACTTGAAGACATTAGAACTAAAATTGAAAATTAAACAAATTAAAATGTGATAACATGCGGAGAAGGTATTATCTATTTACAATTTGTAGAGGATACAAACTGAATGCGGCATTTAAACTGGGCTTCTGTTTGAATTACGCTTTTGATAGGAATTAGGCTTTTGATAGAATTGAAAATTCAAATATCAGGTTTCTAAGAGACATTTTATTATAATTTATGACATCGCAAATGCAAATTCATCCATTATCAAGTAGGGTTAGAGTTCTGCAACCCTTGAATTTGAAATCTTGAAATGATGTTATGGTAGTACAAACATTGGGCAATATAGATACAGATGGAAATCAAAGCATGAATTGCAAGAACAGTTTCAATGTCCTTACAAGGTAATTACTTTGTAAATTTATATCTGGAGACTCATGCTTGATGATGAGATCCTCAGCTATCACGTCATTTGGTGTCTGGGCATCTCATGACAATGAAGGTGTATATATTCATTAATGAATTATAAACCATTATCAGTGATCATTAACTTTATTTTCAGTCTGGTCTGCACCCTGTCAGTGAATATAAGTCTTTGCATGTGAACAATTCTGTAATGGCTGAAAAAAGCCTCTCCATGCTTTACTGCTGGGGCTCCAGCAATTGTGGCCAGCTTGGAGTTCCTGGGACTTTTGATGTGCACCAAGAAGGTGGACCAACTGATGGGCACAAAGTTGATTTACCAGTCAGATTAAAAACTATTAATAACATCAAACAAGGTGAGTATACCTCCATGGTTTTCTCTATGTTGATTTTATGAACATTTTGCACTATTTTCACTGTTGATTACATTTATGTGTGTTGTTCTTGGTTCATTTATAAATTGGTTATTTATTTAACTGTTGTTACATGCATTTGTTCCAAAATTACTCCTTCAAACTAAGGATTCTATTTATCCATGCAACATAACCAAATCATATCACGCATTTTATGTTTTTGGATATAGTCTTAAAACTCATTTGTTAAAATTGTACTAATAATCTTATGTGTAAATGTTTCAGTTGCTGCAGGACTGGAGCACACCTTATTCCTGACAAACAAGGGTGAAGTGTTTGTTAGTGGCAATGGCGAGGTTGGGCAGCTTGGCATTCTTTTGCCTACCAGCATCAAACAGATCCATGCTCCAGGTAACCTTCTCTGGAAGCCACATATTTTCCACTGAAATTTTCAGCTGTAATCTAAGAAGCTATTTCAGCTATTAAGTTTTTTAAAAATGCATGTTAGGGTACATTATATGACATGAATAAGCTCCTCTGAAACCACAGCTCATTCTCTAACTCTAACCCAAAGCCTTCTTATTAAGAAGAAATTCTTCATTTTATGAGTTTCCTCTTGATTTCCATTGTAGGTACACATTGATATTAATGTTCAAGAGATTTTCCTCATATTTGTATTCTATTCGTGCAGTTCAAGTTCTCACTTTAAAGGATCATCAAGTGATGCAGGTGGCGGCTGGTGAGCAGCATTCAGTTGCTGTTACCACTTATGGTGAGGTGAGGGTCATCCTAATTACCTATATTTGCAAGTGGAGGCAAGACACAATTAAGTAATTACTCATGTATTTGCAAAATATTAACTTTCAATAGAATTACTTGCCCATTTGTTAGTTTAAAAGCAAACTGTTTTTCGCCAGGTGTACAGTTGGGGTGACAACACGTTTGGGCAGACTGGCATAGGCGGGAGTGAGCAGGAAGGTCCCGTGTCGTACCCTGCTCGCAACAAGACGCTGGCTCACCTCATGGTGGTGCAGGTCGCTTGTGGTGCCCACCACACGCTGGCTCTCACTTCAGGTCTTGTTTTCTCTCTTCTCTTTCTTATTCCAACACAACTGGGCACCTATCTTAAATTTTGCATTCATAACTTGGCTTACTGTTTTTTTATCAATTGTTAGAACAAGAATCTGTGTTCGAATGAGCCTTTTTATGAATATTTGCTGGAAGTTTGTTAACAATGGTATTTATGCAAAATAAATATTTCTAATTTGGTGCTCCATTTCTAAGATTTAATTCGATATGTTTTGCAGTAATTTTCAAGATGTCCATGGTTGTATTTCGTAACTCAAAGTCAGGTTCTTGCGCTTGATGTGCTCTGATGAATGATTGATAATTTGTATACTTTAATTGCTAGGGCGTTTTTCGTAACATGAATGATTGATAACCTTTTTATGATTTTACTGGTAGGGCGTTTTTCGTAACATTAATGATTGATAACCTTTTTGTGATTTTAATGTTAGAGCTCTTTCCGTAATATGAATGATTGATGAACTTTTATGCTCTAAATGCTAGGGTGTTTTTCGTAACGTGTTTTTGTAACACAGATGGCAGCGTGTACGGCTGGGGCCTCAACAGCAATGGCCAGTTGGGCATGTTCACCGCCGAGCCTGTGAGGAAAGCTACACTCGTCACCGCGCTGCAGGGCCTCCCCATCATGCAGGTGGGGTAACTTGCCTACATCTCGGTATCACTGCCCCTGCTGCCTGCCCTGTTAACGTGGGCATGTGGGGTTGGTGGGGTGGCCAACCATCATTTCTGTATTACTGCGTCTGTCCTCTTAACGTGTGGGGTGGATGATGTGGCTCACTATCATTTCTGCAGCATTGCACCTCTTTTGCTGCACACTTAACGTGGCCATGTAGGTCGGGTTGTGTGGGGTGGGATCGTTAAGCTCCGCTCTTAAAGATCACCAATAAGATGAAACAGGCAAAAAATTCACTAACAAAAGTCCATCTTCCTGTTTTTCACGAACAATTTGTTTGGAAAATAAGAACCAATTTTTCATGTTATTCATTTCAAAATATTGAATAATAATTACCATGTAATCAATCAGTTTTAAGCAGTTCTGAAAATTATCGATTAGCTGACAAAACACTGATAAGCTTTATATTCGTATTGATTATTGACCAATAATCTCTTTTCAGTTACGTTTTAACCGATCTGGAGTTGTATTGCTTGGGAACTATAAGCTCATCCTGAGATGAGATTATGGATTGTTATTCAAGTATTCATGGAGTCGAGCTCCTCTGGAATTTGTGTGCAAAGTTCTTCCAATTGAAATGAGTTTTACGCTTGATTTAATATTTTTTTGGGAAAATGTGGCAGCATTGTATTTATACTTTAGAAAAGGATTTTTTTTTGAATTTCTTGTATGCACATTTGATATTTGTGTGCAGTTGAATTTCCCCATGAAGTAAATAAATTTTTATTTGGTCAGCTGTGCTGCGGAGGCCAAATGTCAGCTTGCATCAGCCGCTGCGGGTATCTGCTGACCTGGGGCAACAACAGGCACGGTCAGCTAGGACGCACTATTGTGTCCAGCAATCCTAAACAGTAAGCAGGCTGGGCTTCGCTTCAGGGCTTCATTATTCTCTTCTATGACATTTCAATTCTACCAATTAAAGGCTTGGATAATTATTAAACTGCATGTTGAACTAAGTTTTTTCCGTCAGTATTGCATAACAATGTTGAGGCATTATTCTGTGTTCCAATGAATTGTCTAAGTTTTTGTTTCACCGAGTGTTGAATGACCCTAAAGGTAATAAACCATGATACAGCTTGAAATCACCATTGACTTCAAGATGTTATATTTTTCCACAAGGTGTCAAGATTTGGGATCTGCTCTATGTTCTGCCACCCCGAAAGTGGTGCCCAACCTGGCCAGCTATTCCGTACCCATCGTGTACGTGGCAGTGGGCAGCAACCACGTTGCTGCTCTTGATTCTGATGGAAAGGTTAGTTATTTCAATTCCTTCACGTCACAGCAAGGCATTTGTCCTCCAAACCAATTTGTTATTTGTTAAAACTTGAACATTAGGTAGTTGTGTGTCACATCAGTATTGCTATTATTACAAGTTCTTCAAGGGAGCAATCCAAGTTTATTGTGATGGAACGGGATTACTAGAAGGCTGTGTGCTGCTGTGGATATTGTTTCTTTCATCAATGATGTATAGGGTTATGCATACAACATCAAGGAGAATTTTTGGAACTCAAAATCGCTTGCGAGAAATGCTTCATAATTTTGTGTTAGTTTGGACTGTTTACACTGTTGATGCACAGCAGCTGTGGAAGTTTTGTCAGTGATGACGCCGTTCATGTTATATTAAACACTTTTTGCAGAACTTGTATTAATTTTGTTCCTGATCGCTCTAAGATTTTTTCAAGTTGAAGTAATTTTGATAATTGCCTTAAATGCCGATATGTCAGCTGTGGACGTTCGGCAACGGCAGCCTGGGCTGCACTGGTCACGGTGGTGCCGGTGGCCCGGATTGTTCACTTAGCACCCCGCGCACGGTGCTTGACCTGGTCGGCTCGACGGTCACGCAAGTCGAGTGCGGCCGCAACCATACGCTCGCTCTCGCCCACGGCAATGTCAGTCACATGCTTATCGCCAATGAAATATTTTAAACCTGAATTTGCTTAATAATGGTTGAGATCTGTTCGCATTCATTAATTATTATTAATGCCATAAATATGATTGATTCAGTTACACTATTTGAAATTTATCGATTTTTGTGATGAGGCTGCAAAATCATTGCTCTTCCTGTATATGCACTCCAATTATTCTCGCGTTTAAACTCGTGTTACTATGGAGATGAAAGACTTATTCGTTGCATGCTTAGTCTTATGACTGAACTCTTGATGCTGATGTCATTAAGTACATGCATATTTTTATCCTTATGAAAAACTCCACAAATCAGGTGTACGCTTTTGGTGACGGCAGCAGCGGTCAGCTTGGCATCACAGAAGTGCCCTCCTCAGGCTACGTCACGGCGCCTCGGCAGCTCAAGCCGCACTGGCAGAACAACCATACGCGCGCTAATGAAACCAGGCAAGCCGGTCAGTAATCTTTGTCACTGTTAAATTCTTGAAGTGTTGGATCCGTTCTTATAAAATGATCCTTTGAAATTGGGAATCCGTACCTGTATACACACTCATGCTCCTTCCAATTGGTTTTCATAGCTGTCAAAATATGCAAGCTTACTAACAAGCTTGCATTAAAATGAACTGCATGACAAAGGTCATCACGAAGGAAATTTTTTTGGTTGTGAACATATATTTAAATCGAGATACTTGCGCTACATATTTGATTGTAGGTTACGAATATCCGTTCAAATAAGTTGTAGGTAACGAATTAGTGTGAGTTATGTATATATGTTATTATATACTTGAGAGCGGTTTTGGTGCGCAGATGCGTGTGTTCAGACCTCTCCTGACGGCACGCCTGACAACGGCTGTGAGGACATGGAGGTCGATGAGCCTCTAGCTGAGTCGTCGCCTGTGTTCGTGAAACAAGTAAGGGTTTCTTTATCGCTAGTTTTTATTGTACTAAGCTAGATCATAGGAGACCACTGTCTTCTTATTATGTTCAAAGCACAACGTTGGACATTGTTTCTCTTCTCTCGTAGTTTTATATATTTTTTTTATCTCTAATGTCAGCTATTTGCTTGTGCAACCTAGAGACATTTCCTCACGATAACGACATGATAAGCTGAATATTTTTGCGACTGTTCTACTGTATCTGTATATAATTTTATTTGTAAAATTAAATACCGGTATACATAATTAGGTATTGTATTATGTTTCTGTATATAAATTAGTTTGAAATTTGTATTGATGTCAAAGATCAACCGGTTTTACCGTATCTGTATTGATGTAAATGATCTATTGAAGTGATGTACACGCAGATATTTTGTGGCGGGGACTGCAGTTTCCTGCTGACGACGTCGTGCCCTCGTCAGAGTTATGACCGCACCGTCGCCGCCTGCTGCCCCGCCCCTGTACCGCCTCCCTCCGCTGCCTCGGCAGCACTTGCTGCTGATGCCGCTGCTCAGGTCGCTCCTAGCTCCATATATTCCTATAAAATATTCTTTGATTCCATTGCTATAATTAAGGTTATGACGTTTTTCATTATTCACTGAAATTAATATGAAATAATATATATATTGCTTAAATTGAACACAGACGCGCTTCTTTATTACACCATGTAAAATTTTATCAGTTTTGTTTAGCTGTCAAAAGGCTGCTTCACGATGCACGTAATCCTTGTTGGCCCCTCCTTTGCTGCTACGTTGTTGAGAGTTTGCTGAAACATCTTGAGAGAGTTTAGATCTGTGTATGCGTGATGCAAGTAATTTTACTTTAACTGTAATTTCAAGTTTTATCGGAAATTGACCGCATTCATAACACCTGTCGTTCATAATTATTCGGACGAATGAAGTAGCCTAGTTGTGAAGTACAAACTAATGGAATATCCAACAACCTATGTCTCGTCTATGTCCTGAAACTTGCATCTCTGTGGTAAAGGTGGCCACGATTGCCGTACCTTTACCCGCTCCATCGTCCCTGGAGGAGGCGAGCTCACCCGTCCCAGAAGTCTTGCCTTCTCCCACCCTCGAGAGCAGCGAAGCGTCAGGCCGGCGGCTGCCCGTCTACGAGCTCCAACTCGCGCACGTCCGATACTTGGCCGACCTTCTGCCTGACCAGCGCATCGAGAGTGATGTTTTTACGTGAGTTTGGTGCCATCTTGGAAGAGGTGCTAAACACTTCATCTACTGGCTGCTAAACACTTAATCTATTGGCGGCATAGATTCCAGGCCTTACGATACGAATAGCATTGTTGATGGTAAATTTATCCTAATACATCGATTGTATAATCCCATTGTTTGCTGGTGGTCTCGCTAGTTTCCAGGCCTCCGAGTACCGATAGCATTGACGACGGTGAATGTATCCTAGGACAAAGGGTTAACCCATTGTATGCTGGCGCAAGATACGACATAAACTGGCCGCAAGATACGACGGTTTATGCATGGGGACAACTGTTAATGAATCCGTGGACGGAGTGTTGAGTGAAGGCTACATGTCGACAAGTTTACTTCTTGTGGTTGTGTTTACATAAAGAAAGACCGTCCCTTAAGACAAGTCTGGAGTAGGATTATTTCTCTACGCATTACGCATCAGACCGTGAAGGGGAAAATGGTCGGCATGTAGATGCCGAAATAAAAAATGCTTATACATGTCATAGAGCATCAGGTTTTGGCAGCTATTACTAGAATTTATGTATATTAAAAGGAAAAACCACGTTTTTTGAATGGAAGCCGTTAAATTTAAACACTGAGGTTTTGAGCCACTTTGTTAAAATTTACATCGGTATTTCCAATTTACCTCCGAATCCCCCCCGTGAATCGTTCAGAGGGGGTCTTCACATGGACATGGTCTATGTGAAGACAGAGACAAAGCTTGCGGCCTGTTATTCTCAGTCCATAAATTACTTGTTAGCATTGCAGGATTGGTAACATTCATCGGCTCATTTGTGTGCGCAGCTGACGTCACACGCGAGCCATCTGTTGGTCGAGTCTTTTATCATTAATGTATTCTAATATTCTTTCATGTTCATTAAATTTTAGAGGTTGTCATTGCTTCTTTTAAATCAACTCAGATATTTGGCTTTAAGAGATCTTTTGACTTTTGGAGGCTAAGAAAAAATTTTTTGCTATGCTTGATGGCTAATTAACTGAATCGCTCCTAACCACCTATATATTCAATATGCTATCGATACCGTTCGGTTAATGGTAGACGGCCAAGCTACAGATGGCGAGTATTAATATCTTATTAGAGTATTATCAAAATAGGTAAAAATGTAGCTACATTGGCACCCATTCTTGCTCAGTTATTTGGAGACTGCGCTGGCGTCAGTAGCGTGCTGGAATCAGTCCTTCTTGTGCACCACGTTTATTCGGGACCCCAACGAGCACGCCATTGACATGCACGCCGCCTCCAACTTTATGACAACGCTCGCCTCAATCACACGCGACACAGCCAAAGATATGGTCAGATTTGCATTTGAAAATTCTCGTGCTGCATGCTGAAACCGTTTGGAATTTTGTGTGTTTTGTCACTTGATGTCCGGTTAGGTGATACACACTTGCCATATTATAATTTGCTGGTAAAAATTAAATCTATCCATTCTATTATCATGATTCAAATAAATTATGTTACCACAAACGACTCACTAGATATGGAGTGGCATTCAGTCGACTGCGTCAAACTTACCATCTTGGTGCGTGACGTCCGAGTGTCTGCGAGCGTATGTGCTGTTGGTGCTCACGCCGCACTTCAGTGACGTCAGTAACTACAAAACACTGCATCTGCCGTACGCTAACAAGGCCAGCGCATGGTCTCCCAAAGCCAAGTCCATTATGGGTCAGTAGTCTACCATTCGTATCACAATTCTCCCGCTAGAAAAATCTACAAAATTAATTTTTTTTTGTGAATGATTTCAAATTTTTGGCTTTTGTAAACATCAGTTGTCGCCCATTTATTGTGTCATTATTGTGTTATTATTATCACTTATTTATAGATCCATGCTTTTCATGAAGAGCTTTTAGTTATTATTCTTTGGAAATTATCAGTTTCAGCTTGTCCTTGTATCCGGCTGGTAATATTAATAATATTTGATGCGAAACTTCACATACTACCATTACTATAACATAATCATATCATTTGTTTACTTCGGTGATTTATTGTTTGCAGTATCACTTAGTTTAAATAATAGAATGTTTGTATCAATGCATGATTTTTCCCTCAGTGCACTGGCTGTCGCAGTCATCCCTTGACTTCCTGGAGCGGATGGTGAAGGCGTTCGTGGGAGCTGTGGGGCAAGCTCTCAAGGATGATAATCGCCAGCAAGTGAGTCCATTAACCTACTTCAAGCCATTAAATCCAGCATTAACCATTCATTTCTGAATAATAGTGACTTATAAAACGTTGAATGGTCATTATTTATGGAGCGTTTGAAATTACTTCATAAATCACTTTATTAACTCGTTGCTGGTGACAGACCATTAGCGTGTACTCGTACCTTGAATTATGGTTAAGATGCACGTTTAACATGCTAACAATACAGCGTGTTGAGGAGGCTGTATATGTGAATATTTCTGTAAGATGTTCATTACCACTTATTGATAGGCGCAGATAATCTTCTTTTTATTAATGGCAATATATTAATTTATTATTCAGTTACATTCTTTCATTTATTCCATACTAAGGAACAATTACAGTGTCCACACTAGCGAGCATTCACACGAAAAGTATTTTTGCAGCAGGTGGCTTAATTACGTTTGGTTGGACGAACATCACAGTGTATTTGCCTTATGTGAAATTGGTGGGATTATTGTATGAAATGTTCCATGTTCTTACCTCAGACTCACGTGAAGCCAGAGCTCGTTGGTCTCTTCGACTTGTTAAAGCAACTCTACGATGTGAACAAACACAGAGCGACTGGTATTGCTTTGAACACATTCTACGTGGACGAGATCTTCGATTTTGTCATGATATCTGAAGATTACAAGCGGTGGAGAGAGAAGCCGCTCATGGGCGCGAAAAAACTCTCTGACAAGGTACAATTTTGATGCTAAAATCGGACTGACATTTTTGGCGAGTTAATCTTTCCAAGTCCACAATTTTGCATTGTTTTTTGGTACCTGAGTATTTCTATTATTGTAGTTGAAATATATTGTTGAAGGCTGAAAGTGAAGCGCAACAAATTTCATTCACTTATTACTAGGTCTATATCGGGTGAATTTCCAGTTGTTGAAATACGTTCCTTCTAATTATTGTGTCTGTCAGGTACCGATGTTTTTCTGCGACTATCCTTTCCTCTTCAACGCTGTTTGCAAAAACGTAGTTCTCAGAGTGGATTCAATGGTGCAGGTATGCTACTCAATGAATAATAATGTTTACGATTGATTGTTGTACGATTAATAATTTTTGTTCTATTAGAGTTGTCTCAGATGATCTATCTTTCTTGTGTGAAAGTATTTTCTTTACATTGTGAACTTCTCGACCTCCTGAACTTACGTGAAATCAGTTGCATTAACAGGATTTTTACTTTTCTTCGATGCAATGATTTGAAGTATAATTCATGATTGCCGAGAGGCAAGCATTGGTTACAAATGCTTGCATTTCGGCTCTCATTTTAATTCTTAAGTTAGTGGTTAGTCGTGATTCTGTGTAATATAAAAATTGTAATAAGATCAAGTAGAAGAGCTACTCATCAGTAATGAAAATAAGTGTGCCCGTCTAATAAATAAAATGAGAAATTTTCTGTATTTCCCTTGCCTTACTTGGTGTTGTTAATATTTTTCTCGCATGACAAGTTCTTTCCTCTCCTTATATATAGATGCAGAATGCAGTTCGATCGTCAGTGCCCCTCGCTAACCTGCATTATGGAGATCCAACGGCACTTTTGTTTTCCATGTTCGGTGCGAATCTGAGTTTCGACCCACACCTCAGACTCAAAATCCACAGAGACAACATCTTGCAAGATGCTTTCGACCAGATCAGCATGGCCATGCCCAGAGAGCTTAAACTGCCACTGGTGGTAAGCAAATTTGAGCACAACTACTTTTAATCGTAATCTAAAAACAAATTGAAATTCATTGTCGGATTGGAATTTTTTACATGGAACGAATTTTTGTTTGAAGGTAATAAGCATTATTGGGCTCTTTGGCTCATGTATTTGATTTATTTAGTGAGATCGATGAGATCTACTTTGTTTAAACTTCTGGAAATATCGGACATTCGTTTGATAATATTGTGTATTTTGTAGGTTGAGTTCCACAACGAAGAGGCTCAGGACGACGGAGGTGTTCGCAAAGAGTTTTTCCTCCTCCTCATGCGTGAGCTCTTGAATCCAAATTACGGCATGTTCCAGGAGTACGAAACGTCGCGCTACATCTGGTTTAGAGAAAACTCTTACGAGTCTCGGCACATGTTTTGCCTTGTAGGTGAGTCAAGGGTGGTCCAGTTCTGACATGTTCTGCCTTGTTGGTGAGTTAAGGTCGGTCCAGTTCTGATATGTTCTGCCTTGTAGGTGGGTCAAGGGCAGTCCAGTTCTGACATATACTGTCTTGTCCGTGAGTCGTGTCCATTGAAAGAATTTCTTCCTCTTGTCTATTTATTCATCAATTTATTAGGAAGAAATAATTTATTAGTGAGCGTAATAGGTCCAGCTGGAGTGAAATTTTTTTAAAAAGTTCTCTCAAGCAATATGTAGCCGCTAGTTATTTTACAAACCTTACGTTCCTCATGTTGCTTTGTTCAACTGAATGATTCATTGGAAAATTATTTTGTATTCCAACACATTTCTTGCCCCCTTTACTGCAGGAACCTTGTGCGGTCTTGCCATCTACAACAGCATAATCATCAACCTCCCCTTCCCACTGCCTCTCTACAAGAAAATTCTCAACGAGCCCATGACTTTGGACGATTTCATTGAACTGGACCCTGTCATGGGCAAGTAAGTTTGTCTGAAATTCCCTTTTTAACTGAAAAGAAGTTTTCTCTTTAATTTTGGGACTTTCTGAGGAGAATATGGCCCTTTAATGTTCGTCAGAACACATTTCACACTAATCATTGTAAAATTTATCACTTGAAAAGAAACCTTTCTATAGTTTTGGTAATGATGCAAGACTGTCCTCCAAAATAGGACATGAACATTGGCTCAACGAGAACTGAATTATTCAAGACCAACTTCGATGAGCTCATTGTTTCACGTTATTCCAGGAACCTGCGTGAGTTGCTGTTATATGAAGGCGATGACGTAGAGGAGGTGATGTGCCTAAACTTCACGCTGGACCGCGTCTACTTCGATGAGGTCGTCAGCAAAGAACTCAAGCCGGGCGGAGCTGACATTCCTGTTACTAATGACAACAGGTCGATAATTTCATGCGAATATCAAAATTTCTCTCATTTCATCACAATTAGTCCCGTAATATTTCCTATTTTTCCTGAAATTGTCTTTAATTTATTCATATAATGAATGCTAAACAAAGATCTGACAAATTCTCGTGGAGATGAAAAATTCGGAGTAAACATCTTTTCGATTGCCATGAGGAAACTTCTGCACTAACTCTGTATGTAAGAGAACTTGTCACACCGTTGTCATTTTCTTCAAGCTCGTACTTCGTTCAAAAATATACTTTAGAAATCTGTAGGTTGCAGTACCTTCGATTTAATTGCAAATAATTAGTTTTCTCAGCGCTTTATTCGATTGAGCTAAATTTCTAACTTGAACCAAGATGTTCACTCTTTACTGCAGAGAGAGAATTTAAACCTTGTTTCATGACTGAAAAATGATTATTTTTTTCAGTCATTTCTACCGTTTTCTTTTGGGCACAGAGTATGCAGCTCATTGACTAATATATACTAACGAAAAGAATAGAGGCGTTATCGTCTTTTTGTCCTTTGTATTGAGCAGAGAGGAGTATGTGCAGCTGATAGTCGATTACATACTAACGAAAAGCATAGAGGAGGAGTTCTCGTCTTTCTGTGCGGGCTTCGAGCGCGTCTGCGGAGGCGACATTCTGCGTCTCTTCCAGCCTGTTGAGCTCATGTCGCTTGTGGTCGGCAACGAAGACTACGACTGGGACGCTTTCAAGAGTAACACCTCTTACAAGGTCAGCTTTTTTTACTGGTGCTAGGTTTTCTCTCTGTGTTATTTTCCCGTTAATACGGGATAATAATAATAATAATTTGATATTTGGTTTTGCCCGCAGATCTTTATCGTAATGTTAGTTTATTTTGCTTTGAGAAATTTTGATTGTCATTTCGCGGTAGGATGTTTTAATTAATTTTACATTTTCGAAGTGCATAGTTTCGGTCTTGTGCTGCGCACCTCATTGCTCTAACATGTTAAAGCATATATATTATGGTTAAATTAAAAAAATAAACTTAACTATAAACACCACTGTCATTGCAGGGGGAGTACAGCGCCGACCACGAAACAATTGTCACCTTCTGGAGCGTCTTCGATGAGATGGCCCTGGAGGATAAGAAGAAATTCCTGCTATTCTTGACCGGCTGCGACCGCGTCCCCCTACTGGGCATGAGGGTTTGTGCTACGACTGCTTTTCTCAATTGAACTGTTGTACAATTTTAGCTAGATGAGCGTTTGTAAAATTGATCCCAATCCTGACTGATGGTGGGCATACAGTTTATTGCCTTCCAATTTGAGCTAATTATAGAAAATAATTTATTCTACAAATTAACACAAATTAAAAATAATCTGTAGCCTTATTTATGCATTATTCATTAAGAGGATGCCGTTTTTTTGATACAAATTTTATTTTAAAGGCCATCAAAATGGTGATAGAGCCAGTGCAAGACTCACGACTGCTGCCGGTAGCGCACACTTGCGTCCACCAGCTCGATTTGCCCAAGTACGGAACGAAGGAGCGTCTCAAGTACAAACTCTTGCAAGCCATCCAACACTACGAGGGCTTCGGTCTCGTGTAGTCGCCCCCTGTGCTCAGCCGCCAGTACGGTATGCATGCGGTCGCTCTCTTTATTTCAAAATTTTAGCTACTGAATCAATACTATTCAGGTCGAGATACAATTTCATGAAGTGAAATTAGTTTTTTGGAAAAAGTTCTAAGGTTTTAGAATTACTGGTCCAAATTTGAAATTGGACACACGAGCTTATGGCTCTGCGGTGCTGGCGCAGATTGTTTTGTCCGGTAATTGTTCTAAATCGTTAGGGAAACTATTGCTGAGCGTGTCATGCTGAACAGGTGAACCGAGTTCCTGCCTGGACTTGAAACGAAAAGTTTATTAGATGAAATCCTAGTCGCCAGTTATAGTTATGAAGTTTTGAGTTGTGTGGTTATTCTGATATCCAATACGAGATAGTCTTTTATTTGACAGAAGGTTGGCCCTCATGACTGGAGCTCAGACTGGCACTAATTATATGACAAGATCAAGGCATGAAATTTACATCTGGAGAACTTAAGTGAGATTAAATATGATTATGGATAGAGTGTCTACTTAACTCCGAATCAATTTTCAAATATGTTTAGGAATATAGTGTGCTCATTCTAGCCTTAAATAACGGAGAATATATTATTTACAATAAAAGAAGTACAATTTATCAGATTCATAGCACCTATGCGTAATGTGGCGTATGATACCAGTCAGTTGCAGTCAAGAGTCTTAGGAACGACAAAACTCTTGTTTGTTAATGGATTAAAGTTTGATTTTTGATATAACACGCCTCTGGCGGATCTCGTGTGATAACCACGTCTTCGTATGTACTACAGTAGGTACTATATTATATTACGGCTGATTGAACATTATATACAAACCCGCTTTTCCCGTGAAAATAATTTGTTTTACGATATTTTCTATGATTTATCTTCTGGCTGTATCGTAACGTTTAGCCAGAGTTTTTGCATTCGAAACGTTTGCGTTGATCTATTTGTTGAAGTGGATGGATATGAGTGGTGCATCCTATTTAGGAGTTCCTATTGTCATTTTGTGAATGCCATGTTCTATAAGAAAAACAGCGTTCCAATGTTGACACCTGTTGTAGTATTGTAAAACAGTTTAGATGAAACGTATATATCATACTACATATTAATTCACGCGTACTCACGATCGCAACATTACTGCTGCTAAAAAGTTGTCTATCATACTTTTTACCGATTTATTTATGATTTACTGATAGTGTGGGACAAGTACAGAAGTAAATCTAAATCTTAGAGCGTCACAAAGTCGTGCAGCACAGTCCGAGGCACGGCAATGATTCTTTGCAACGTTTTAGACGGTCTCCAGTATATATTGGTCAATTTCACTTTTAACTGCATCCCCACATTGTTGTGTGTGTTTTTTTTTTTTTTTTTGTCGGGAGAAAGTCACGCTTTTATTTTCATTCCAACGTCAACAGAATACTTCATTAATATCGGGTTCGTAGAATATTTACCAGTTTGTTCTTTTGGTGTTCAAATATTTTGAACAGAATATTAACAATGTGGCGAAATCAATTTCATGTCGATCGAGTTTTCATTTGATTTTAAGCTCTCACCTTAAAAACTTGGTTTATAACCATTTCAAGTTCTAGGCCGTTTACACCAATTGGGGCAATAGAAACTCTGTGCATCAGAATAGCTTTTTTCTTCTTTCGCTTGAAGTGGATTTCTTTAATATCCTCATATTTAAGGTAGATGGATCATTCAGCAGTTTTAATTAATTCTTACTAATCATTGTGCCTTTCTTCGCAAGTGTTAAGATACTTGTTATTCATGCTCTTTGGAAGAATAAAGTTGTGATGGAAATTTTTTTCTTCTTCCGCGTGTGGTATATTCAAATTAACGTTGCGTCGTCTAGTAATCAAACAATAATGTTGTCATTTATGCATGTAAATAGATTGAGCAGGAAGTATGAGTTGCAGAAAAAAATCAAGATTCGGTTACTCAATTGGATGTGTAACTATGAAATGCAATGAAACTTAACTTTAAACTACAGTAAATATGCTCGTTCAAATACGGACCTATAAGAAAGGTTTAATAAGCTGCTTTTCATATAACGTATTATTCAACAGAAAAAAAAACAAGTTCAAGTATACTTTAAACAAATGTACAAATATATAAAATTAGGGCAGTTTAGAAAAGTAGAACAACACATGTGATGTTATAGATATGGTACAGTACTTGTTTTCGATGATATGATAGTCTACATTTTTTTATCACGAATAGAACCAATTCCTTTTTCCCAAAAAGTTTTTGAAATCACATTCCTATCCATGCAGCATTACGCTGCGAAGGGTACACGGAGAGAAGAGAAAAAATTCTAACCTAAATTATATTTCCTCGTGTTATTCAGATCAACTATCGGGGTTATTTTTTCAAAATAATTCCAGTTGAAGGTCGCGATGATTTTACACTAAATCCTACTGAAAAATTTGCTGCGATTTTTTATTCACTTCTTAACTTAGGAAGGTGGAAAGATGTTTGTCCAGCCGTTGCTAAATGGTATGTCCGAGTGATACGGCACAATTGAAAATTTTCCTATTTGGATGGAGCATGAACGAAAGCTACACCAATAATCTGGGTCTGTTCTGTGAATGCCGCTGCTGAGATGAATAAGTTAGGCGTGAACTCCTAGATCGGCGTGTCCGTTGGTGGAGTGAGCCCCGAGATGAGGGCGAGAGTTACGCCTCGACTCAGACTGACCGCTGGATGAAAGACAGTAGCAACGCTGCTGCAACTCTTCAGCAACATCGAACACTGCAAATTTGAATTTAGAAATATATTTATCGATATTTTCTGGTAACAGATAGCAAGCTTAAAAAAATTAGTTATGAAAATGGCTCAAGTCTGGCTGTGACCAATTGTCGTGCCGATCTGTACTTTGATTTACTAATAACATCTTCGTGGCAACTACATTGAATAACCTTGCCCGATCTGTTCAGTAAGTCAGATAAAAAAGCTATGCCATTCAAGAAATAAAGTTTATCACGCACCTGTTGCACTTGGTTGAGGTAGAACGTCAAGGTTCGGATGTCGGTATTGAGGCGAACGCCTACGACGTCGCCGACCTGCACCCCGCCCTGACTCCTGTTGAAGTGCTCACCCGCGTGCATCATCCACGCTCGCTCACGATCAACATATCTACACCAGCCCCGCGCGCACTTTCCTGACCACACGAAATGCGATCAATATGGTGTTTTTTACTTGGAATTTTCAATACAAAGCAAAACTCAACTCAATAACTTAGAAACGATAAAAATCGATCAAAGCAGCTGAAATTTTCGACTGTATAGACAATTAAAAACTGAAACAAACCTCAGAACTTTGGTAAGCTGGGCACTTGATTGCGATGTTTAGCAAGAAAAATATATTCCTGAAATAAGCCAATAAGCATCGAATGCTGTTTTAAAAATGACAGACCCAGAACACTATTGTAAGTGCGTACACAACACCATGATCGCACCAAAACGTTCCTCACCAAGTATGGCCTCCGTGTTGACACCCTTAGCAGCAACACCGAAGGCAATATCTGCGTTGGTGTCGTATGTCAATAATTTGTACTGCCAGTAGTGACATCCGCGCGAGAAAGCGACGCTACCAAGACTGATGCGATGCTCATATGAGTCGCAAGACACGCGCGTGCCTTCCTCAGACACGTTCACGTCCGGGTGGCTCCTCTCCATGAAAAACCACGCCACTGAAGACAAGAATAATAATGTTCAATTTTCCATAACCATTACTACGTACTAATGTTCAACTACCTTAAGGTACTTTCATAACTAGTATTTTTATTATTGAAAATTTCGTAAAATGTCAATGCATGTAAATTATCAATTATAAACAAACTCTTGAAGGATGGAATAGAAAGTAGCTTTAAACAACAGAAACAAATAGGGTATTTTCCCGAGCGAGATCTGTTAGATCAACAGCTTGAAAATTCATAAAATGACAAAACCAACCTTCCGATGTGTGTAAAGTGAGCGGCGGTGTGTAATCAGACGCGCCTGCAGCGCTACACGCCTTCACTCGAGCTCGATACACCGAGTTGAAGTGTAGACCGTCGATGGTGCATACGCACTCGTCTCCGTTATACACCTCCTGCGCGCCACAATTACAACGTTCAGCAGGAATGCACGTACAAACTCTGGTTAACGTTAAATAATACGGATATTCTTTAGCTAACGACGCGTAATAGAATTCTTTCAGTTAACACGTTTTAGGAGGAAATTTTAAATACTTATAACTATTATTATAAGAATGATTAAGTTTTTCCTCAATATCATAAAAAGCTCTTGCATTATCCTAGTTTGCGCCTTGCGGCGAAAACAAACATGGAATAGTGTTCATCGATTAGGGACGAATGAGCTTGACACATGGTGCGTATCCAATAACAGCAATAACAAAGTGTTTCTCCAACTATGGATACAAATATATCTATTTTAAACTCAGAAGAAAAAGTATGAATTTCATGTTGAATTTACGTCGAGCAGAAAGGGTTACTAATTGTAAAGTGATATAGCTTGTGCAAATCTCTTGATTGCTCATTTAAGAGGAAGCCGACATTTCACTTAAAATTCGACTTCAGAATCCATTTGCCCGAGATTACTCCCATAAATAACAGGAAACTGCGGCATTTATGAACGGACCTTGAATTCTCCTCGGTTGCCGTCATCGATCTGCAGGGAGAAGCTGGAGTGACAGAGAGGAGGCTGTGGTTGCCAGGCGATGGTCACGGCGTTGTTGACGGAACTGCACTCGGACGGCACGAACTCCGGCACGCCTGGCACTGCTTCATCAAACATTCGCAATAAATATTACATAGGATCAAATATGCTATTAACCCTCTACCGCCAAAAAATTAAAACTAACCTGAGCAATATTGTCACACAAGACTACCCAAAAAGGATACGTAGCTAGTGAGCGCACAATGACTTGCACTGATGGTTGCCGCAACGTACAACATTAAAATGTTCTCTGTTGCGTAGTAAAGTCCTCCGGTTTCTACACTCAATAGTTTACATATAATTCAAGTTGAACGTTATGTTTCCGGAGAGTGACATACTGCCGTAGAGGGTTAACACTAGAATAAAGGTGATAAAATATTTGACGGGGCCCTGTCAAATTCAATGCTTAGTAGATGATTCAGTGAATTTAGAAATCAATTTGGGTAATTGAAAGTAAATGTTGACGCGTCTAACAAAGAATTGAGATTTTTAACAGAATTGAAATGTGCTACGAGGTAAGCCTCTTGCATCAAAGTTATTTAGACTCTACCTTGGAACTGAATGAAAGTGAAGTTGGATATGGCATCAGCCAGAGGGCGCTCGTCTACGCGGTACTGCAGGAGTTGTGCTGAGGGCGCCACAGCGGCCTCCTGCGCCAGGACTTCATCGCACCCAAATTTCAGCTCCTCAATTCGTTTGCTAAGTACTTCATTGGCCTGGAAGTATAATTTATATCAATATAAATTAGAATGTATACTAATTGCCTAACATGGCTTTAAACGAGATACATGATGCAGGTGAGTCCCCGATCTGGATCCTGTCATCCCCATTACAAATCCTGTCATCTCAAACCTTGTTTCGTCTTGTTTAAACCTTTAGGCTTTTGGCAATTAAACTTTTACAAATATATAATTGATGACGATATAATTGATAATTCAGTGCACGAACTTCCAACTCTTCATAGACATAAGTCAAATCATTTAAATCCTTTGTCCAGAGACGGTAACTCATGTTTCGTAGTCAAAAAAATTTACACCTAACAACATAAATTGTCATTAATTTATCAGTAGGTAACGGTTCAAACACGGTGAAAATCATAATGGCTATTAATAAATGACTATTTCAAACTCATCATCGAACCTCCATGAAGCACACGGGGTCAGATTCTTTGATGGCTTCAATGTTGAATTGAAGTCCAACTGTGGTCTCCTGCAGAGATTCTGTCGCGTCCTGAATGCGCTCCTGAAGCTCTAGGATCTGAGAGTAAAAAATGCTCGTCATAAATTGTAAATATACTCGACTAAATTAATACCTATTATATAAATAATGTATATAAATACTTTATTACATAATTACTATTCTAACTACGGTACTCCATTATGGAATATGGAGCAGTTGAGCACCTTATCAATACAATTAAATATTTAACATAAATATTACATAAATGCACTCGAGGAAGAGAATATAAAAAATCTATTTTGGCAACAATTTGCAATATCGAAGGAGAAGAAATCCGATGCTGATATTTAATAAGTGTGATCAAATGCCCCCAGCATCTGAACTTAACTAACCATCATCCGAGGGCTCTTCCAAACTTCAATTTAATCTTCAATTCGAGTAACGAAAAAATCATCCTATCGCATTTCATGGCCGCAAATACTCTGAGTAGAGAGCTATAAAATGAACACCCGGTGAAGCTGAAGGAACGAAAAGTTCCTCTTCAGAGGTCGTAAAATTAAATCTAATCAGACCCTGAGTAACAAAGTGCCCGACCGAGACAAAAAAGGAGATTGGAAGCGAGGACTCGAAGCTTGAATTTCCATAAACCTACAAATACGTTCGTTGAAATCAAGAACTTAATTTTCGATGAGAAGATAGAGTGACAGAACTAAATAATACAAGCGTGCATCGTTTGTCGCAGAGAGGTGACTGGGTTGATTAAATGCTGCAAAAATGTGAATGCAAAATGAATTATCAAATGTCCTATACGCTTTCTTGGTTACACAGACATGCATTTAGAAAGAAAATAATGGTGAGTGAATGACGTAAAAAATATTTAACTTTAACTTGCAATGAAAGATAACTCGCTAAACTTGATTAAAAATAACTCAGGAGTATGAAATCAAAGTCTATTTCATAGCCGAAGTTAGTTGAAGACGCGGGATATTAGACCTAAAAATTTGTTAACGTTTTAGTCTACGTTTTAGTATTATTAGGATTGAGTTATTAGGACTGGTATTATTATGTCTGATATTACTTGGACTCGTATTATTAGGACTGGCATCATTTAATATCTTTCGGGCGAGTCGCCTTACCTTCTGCAGCTTATGCTGCCGCAGCCAGATGAGGAGGCTGTCCCTGCGCTCGTGTAGCGCCGCGACCAGACGCTCCACCTGCGCTACCAGCGCCTCCTCCACGCTCTGCATGCAAGTCTGAACATGCACAGAGTGGGTTATGACGGCGAAATGTTGAGTTATGACGGCGAAATGTTGAGTTATGACTGCGAAATGTTGAGTTATGACAGCAAAATATTGAGTTATGACAGCGAAATGTTGAGTTATGACAGCGAAATGTTGAGTTATGACGGCGAAATGTTGAGTTATGACGGCGAAATTTTGAGTTATGACTGCGAAATGTTGAGTTATTACGGCGAAATGTTGAGTTATGACAGCGAAATGTTGAGTTATGACGGCGAAATGTTGAGTTATGACAGCGAAACCTGGGTTACCACAACAAAAACCTGGGTTACGACAACAAAAAACCTGTGTTACGACAAGAAAGGAAATGTGCAGGGTTACGTCAGCTCAAAGGTGTCACAAAGAAAAAAGTGGGTCATAATTTTTAAAAAAAGGTAGGAGATGATAGCTAAAAAAATGAGGGGAAGTGTTATGACAGCAAAATGTAGAGCCATGGCTCCGAAAATATGGGTTACTAGAGTGGAAAGGAAAGTTAAATGGGATCATTTCGAGAATGGCATGAATTCTTAAAATTGATAGGCAACGAGATGGTGCGCAGACAAAAACAAAACAAAAAACTACAAAAGTTATCTCGAAAATGAAATTAATATTGCCAAGAGGCTGAGAAGAGATACGAATGATTTTGTGAAATTCATTTTAATAATTTAAATTATAATCCAGCAGAATAAATTTCTACTGATATAATTTTATCCAACAAAAAAATGTCCTTATCATGCGCGAGAAAAAAACAAAAGTCAAACAAAATTTGCGAAAATTTCTCCGAGCTTTTTTTTCGACACCAGCAAGTGGTGAGTTTTAAAGAGTTTTACCGCGAGTGGTAAAAGAGTAACGCACCTCAAGCTGAGCAGGCTGGCTCTTCAGTCTGTGGATAATTTCAGAAGCAGCTTTGGCTTTATCCGATAGCTGATGCAGCTCCAACTTCATCTCCTTCTGCAGAGCACAAACATTCGCAGTATTAAATAATAGTTAGAATGAATATTAATAGATAATGCTAGACCTAAAAAATACAACTTGTTGCGTTTCGCGTTTCACTCGGGAACGATTATCACTTGATTATCCATAGGACTATCCAAGTGCATAATTCCTTTCGTCGCTAAATCATTTTATTCTACGTCTTTTTCCGAGACTTTCCACTGAATTTCCGTCACAGAAAAACTAGAGTAAAACAACGATTTTAGCATGTAAACACATAATGCACAAATCCAAAGAAAAATATAGCGATGTAACCCGAAAATGATAACCGTGCAAAAGATCCTATCGAAAAAAATAATTTCAAAATGTTTGTTACAGAATACACAGGATGGCGCGAGTATTCATTGGCGCACCGTCATTGAGCAAAAAGAAATGAGCGGACACGAAATCAAGGAGAATTTTTTGCGGAACTCGAGTGGTCAGCGGCGCGTTACGGAGTCGAAGTTACGGCCACGAAGTGTCTTGTGGTTGCTGGTGCCTCGCAAGGCGCACGGAAAGAAAATGTTTTCCGGAGTTTGCACTTAAACTGATGTTAAAGCTTGGAGCAAGAAAATATACTAGCGTGTGTTTTCCGTGACTGAATACCTATCCTTGTAGGCTAAATGAAGGTTCAGCAACTGCAGTTCATGGTTGGCAGACGGCAGCTCTGGTGGCACACATGACACGTTTGTGAAGTATGGGGGCGTCATGCATGTGTGAGGAAAATTTATCACTTCATTGATTTTATTGTACATGAATATTTATCTTAGAATGACAATTGAGTATACGTCATTGCAACACAAGAGTTGAGAATTGAATTTACTCACGCAGAACAATATTCTATTTCCACGCATTAAAAAATCCAAAATGAGGTCTGATCCCATAGGATCAGACAGGATAGGTCTTATCATCCTTAGCCATGCACGTTAGAAGTTTTCATTCTGCAGCCAAATAAATTATTCTTTGATTGCATGTCTATAAACTGAATCAGTGTCGATTCTTTACCATGATATCAGTACGAAATTTCGAAGAAATAATATGGCGTGTTATTGTTACCTTTTAAGGTTAGTTATGAATTGGCAGCACTGCCGGTAAACTGTAGGTTTCGCTAAAAATGTTCTTTTCATTAACCTTGTATCATTTTAAGCATGCGATATTTGTCTGCGAGTCGATCGTATTTCTATTTGTTCGGTATTACATTAGTAACATGTTATGATACAAATAAATGTATTGTGAAAACAAATTTCTTCGCATCCCCTTTCATCACTAGAGAGCGTTGACACAAACAATACCTGGCCAAATAACTTGCATTCAGGCTCAACGCCAGGCAGTACAAAGGATAAGTCGGCACTCTGCGTATCGCACTCAAACAATCCCCGACTGCAACCAGCTTTTCAGGCATAGATTTAGACGCTAGGCTAATTGAAGGATTTAGAAGGATCGGCTTCGTACCGGATCAAAAGCGTGTGCATGTAAGCGCAAGAAATAAAACTATGTAAGTTATGCAAGTTTTCAAGCCTGAAATTAAGGATAGATGCCAAATTCTTTGAGATTAAACATGCAGTTTCTTTCGAATAAACCTTCGAAAACTTGTAAATATAGCAAACCGAAGTGGACAACTTTCACGGCGTCGTGTGATCACGAATAATGGTAACAAACCATAAAAAAACAAGAAGAGTCTGACTGATGTAACTCTTACTGCACACCAAAATAAAAAAGTATTTCTATTGCGTAAGCTCATGCCAAAAGACAAGTTTAGAGTACTCTGATATTGAATGAAGTTCTATTCTACATTCATCAAGTCACGCAAAGGCGCAAGGATGAGCTGCATGTTTATGCAAAGACGCGAGACGAGCGCGTAATGCTGCTAAAAAACGTCAATAAAAACGAGTTATGACAGCTTTCAAGATGCCCCCTATCAGCAGCTAGCGTTTGCGGATGACAATTATGGAAAGCTGAGGCTAATAACCTCACTTTAACTCGTGACATTACAGAAGGCAGGATGCAGGCAGAAACCGGAAAATAACATAGGACAGGGTGCTAGCATAGAAAATGTTCGCTCCACCAGTCAAGAAATTCAGTCTTATAGAGTATAGATCACATCCCAACACAAGGAAATATTGAAAGTCAAAGCCAAAATGTTTGACAAAATATAGTTTTTAGAAAACTCAGTAGATTAGATGAAGGACGCAATTTTCTTCGACATGCGTATGTGGGTTAATCTTAAAAATACCACAATTTTAAGCTCTCCTAAATCTTTCATGAATTTAAATGGTGTCTTCACGGACAGAAAGTTGAGAAAATTTCTATAGGAAGACGCGAAATCACGGCTGTTACGAGGGAGTAGCTCGAACTGCTCTCCACCGCAGCTGTGTGCGAGAGGAAAGACACTGCGGGGTGTGGCTCGACCAGCTGTGTGTGAGAGGAAAGACACTGCGAGGTGTGGCTCGACCAGCTGTGTGTGAGAGGAAAGACACTGCGGGGTGTGACTCGACCAGCTGTGTGTGAGAGGAAAGACACTGCGGGGTGTGGAACGACCAGCTGTGTGTGAGAGTAAAGACACTGCGGGGTGTGGAACGACCAGCTGTGTGCTAGACTTTAATTGATAAAGGGTGGAGTCTTATAATTTGTAGGATGCTGAATTTATCCAACTTGTATTTTATTAATTAACTACAACAATTTTGAATAGGGACAATTTTGCAATATGTCGTAATTGTCGTTATGATGCAGATTTTCTATGAAGGAATAATTAATTTGTCATGTTGTGAATTGTAAAATTTCCTAATTTTATACCACTAAATTAGTGGCATAAATTGTCAACCAAATTAAAAAACGTCCCGTCCAGCTTGCATTACGCCATTGTTTCTTCTTAAAAACAAAATTTCTTCTCACATTTGCGGATACACAACAAATACCTATTGCAAAAAAAGTTAAGCACAATTTTAAGTATTCTTAAGAAGAATTTCCACAGGATGGCTGAATATACAAATAAAAAGGCGCTTGTCACAACAGATCGCATAAAAAAGGGCTGTCAAGTTACGAGTTAGCTTGTACGTACTCAGGAAGAAAACCGAAGAGCAAAATGAATAAGAAGAAATTCACAAAATATATATTTTGTGGATTTTCGTGTTCAAGTAGACAAAAAATAAGGTGATGAATGATGAACGTCGCTGATGTAACCCAGTGAGTCCCAGAGAAAATAAATTACGGGCGAGCTGCGCCTCTACAGCAATGATCAATGAAGAAAAATTTCGCATGAAGCCCTACACTCAGAGAAAGAGTGCGAAATCGTCCAATAGCAATGAACTTGTGCCGTTATGTGGGTCATCCTTACCCAATTTGTTTCGGTAAAAAGCGCATGCAGAAAGTGCTACATGCAGAAAGTATGTGACTATTTGGACAATATTACTTATTCATGTTTATGAGTTAGCAAGTAACAGAAGAACTGAGTGGCATGCAGGGGCGCTATCGGGGCAGATGTGATGCTGTCCAGAGCACGGGTTTGCTGCCATAACCACAGCGGTGTGATGTACAGAGTTTGCCGGAGCAGAAGAAGAAATCTTGCAGAGCTCTTAGTGAGTTATCCCGACGTTAGATCCATTGCACGAAATACAACTTGTGAAATACTTCCTGATATATTTTACCATGTTAACTCGTATATATCAAGATGCTGCTCGGACAAAATATACATTAGGGGCGGCTCCATCACAAACGTAGACAATCAGTGAGTCGTCAAACGAAGAAGTCTTAATAATTGAAGTATCAGACAGTGCAAGGAAACAGATAGTGTGCAGCAGCCCAAAGTGGTCTTATCACGACCGTGAAGAAGGGGAGGTAGTGGAGGTGAGACAGGAGAGAGGTCGAGTCTCTGAGCGTGAATGCTTTCCTTATGCTACGAGTGCCAACGTTAAGTGACCCGACTCGCTGAGTTCGTTGTAGTGAAGTGACACATAGAGACTTGTACTTGGTACCNTCTTATACACATCTAGATGTGTATAAGAGACAGATGCATACTTGACGCAAAATCTATCTCCAATACAAATAGGAAATACAATTAACTAGCGAACAAATAATTAGGCTGGAGAGGAGTAAATCCGAAAGGAAACTGCGCTCATTAATACAAGGCAAAGCTATACCAGGACGCATTAATTCAGGAGGGGCTGGGGAGCAAATTGAAGTGACGGGAGCAAATTACGCCGCCAACCTCAGCCTAAATGATGTCCATTACCAGGCAGCATTTGTTAGAAACCTCCGTAGAAACCATACCATCACTGTGATATACGAGGTTTAGGGGCCATTAATGATATATTCTTCAATATATAACAGCATGCTAAAGAATGTCTACATGCAACATGTCTTATGTATGTTGTCTTGCATCGAGTCTTGGCAGAAAAGATTTGAATCGAAATCTTCGGTAAAACTATTTGAGTCCTTTCCGCGGGATCATCGCTGGAGCGATTGTATCACTTGGATACAAGCAATAAAATGTGAGAGTGCGGCACGAGTCCATCATTTAACGCAGATGTACACAATAACGGCGACGAGTATAGTGGGCGATGCAAGCTTTCACAATCTGCCACGCATAAACACGAATGTCCCATCAATTTATCGAGGCAGAAAGATGCCTTTAAATGACAAGGCACGATGTTTTGAAGCTAATATGTCTCGATCGTTACTAGATGGCTACAAAATTTGAATCATATAAGCATTTACGGTAAACAAAAATCTAGTAATACATAAATTAGTAGTGAACATTTATCAAGTGTTGGTAAAAATGTTCGTCATTAACCAGATGTGGTTAGTGCTGCCAAAATGAAAATCAACGACAGAAGATGCTTAGCGTATGGAAGAAGTTTAATTTCAGCCTTCAGCAGGACTCCTCATTCAGCTCGCACATCACAGGCATTCACAACATGATAGAAATTAAATATAGAATAATTTTACGCGCACTGTCAATACACGAGCTGATGCTCTCCTGG